GCCATGTTCGCCTGGGAACTTCATCCAATCCTTAGTGGTGACGGATTTGATGTTGAAGTTGACATAGGTTCTTGTGTCAGAAAAGCCCACCCGGGCGTGAGGAATTCTGCGTTTTCCATGATGGGAAAGTCGCCATGCTGGCTTGGGAATGCAACTCGATTTTCAATTGCGACCGACAGGATTTCGGGTGACCCGCGCGGAGTCACCCGCCGCGCGCGCGTGGCCAGTTCCGTAATGTTCACAATAGGAACGTCGTCATGTTGGCCTGGAAACTTGCAGTTGACTTTTAGCGGTGACCTATAGAATTCTGAAGTTGCCATTTTCCGAATATATATATATATATATATGTATATGTATGTATGTATGTATGTATGTATATATATATATATATATATATATATATATATATATATTAGGTGTAATGTATGTATGTATGTATGTATGTATGTGTGAGTATATATATATATATATATGTAGAACGACATCTTGTTTGCGAAATGCCTATAGCAAACCCGTTGCGGTCACCGAGCGCGCGCGCGGGTGACGCGTGTCACCTGCGCGGCGTGTGGAAATTTTGAATATGTCCAATCACAACTACTGGCAGTGCGCGCGTTCCATGCAACAACAAAACAGCCCCCTCTCTTCCTCCTCCTCTTCCTCTTCTTTTTCCTTCTCCTCTTCTTCCCCCTTTCCCCTTTTGACTCCACGGCCTTGGAGTGTAAGGCCCTAGGGTCTCGCACCCTGGAGTATGGACCGGTTCCGGCAGCCCTGGAATCTAGGCCCTTGGGGGGGCGGTGCCCGCTCGGGGCGGGTCGGGGCTGCGCCCGTGGTTGTCGGCGCGTTTGCTTTGTCGTTCCCAGGGAGGGGGGGGGGGCCGCTCGGGGGTTCGCCCGGCGCGGCCGTTTGTCGGCTGGCGCCCCCCACTCGGCCCGCCTGTCCGGGGGGGCCCCGCGCCGGGGAAACGCGCCGGGGGCCCGTGGCGTCGGATTCCCCCTGCGCGCCGGGGGGGGGGAAGTGCAGCAACAGTTCCGGCATCCGCCGGGTTGCAGTAATTCAAAGGCGAGCCCAACTGTAGCAACCCCAGCAGCCAGGGCAACCGTAGTAGCCTTAAAACGAGGTCAAGTGTAGTACACTGATCGGGCCCGCGAGCCAGTTCAACATTGTAGTACATGAGTTTGAAAGAAACTGCGAAAACAGGGCCCAAGTGTAGTAATTCAAAAACGAGGCCAACTGTAGCTAGCAACCCAAGGCCGGGGCCAAGTGTAGTAACTCGAAAACGGGGTCAACTGTTGCAACCAGGAACGAGGCCAAGTGTAGTAATTCAAAAACGTGCTCAACTGTAGTAACCAAACAAACGGGGCCAAGTGTAGTAATTCAAAAACGAGGCCAACTATAGCAACCAAAAACGAGGCCAAGTATAGAAACCAAAAACCGCATCTACTATACAGTAGTGAATCTGTGATCTCTGGGCGCGCAGCCTCGGATCACAACGCGGGCTTGCCCGGGGCCATTCCGTCGCCCTCCCTCTTTTCCCCCCGCCCTCCTCCCCCATGCTTTTCCTCGTCGTCGACGTCGCCGTTGTCGTCGTCGTCGTCGTCGGTCCTCCTCCTCCCCCTCCTCTTCCTCCTCCTTTTTCCCCAATCAGTGCTTGCACTGAAGGGGTCCTCGCGGAAGTTGCTAGAGTTGGCGAAGGTGCCTCGCCGATTTTGGTGGCACGCTGGGTTCCCGGGTTCCCGGTTCCGGGTTCCAGGGTCCCCGGGTTCCTGGTCATCGGTTCCGGGCCGATGGTTCACTACCGATCTCACTGTCGAGTTCATTTCGGATCTAGTTGGTTCCCGGGTTCCCGGGTTCCCGGGTTCCGGGTTCCCGGGTTCCTGATCATTGGCTCTGGGCCGATGGTTAGTTTTCGATCTCACTACCGATTTAACTGTCGAGTTCTCTACAGATCTCGTTCAATGTTGAAAGATTTGACGAAATTGCTCCGCCGATTTTTGTAGCACGTTGGGATCCCGGGTTCCCGGTTCTGGGTCCCTATGTTCCTGGTCATTGGTTCCGGGCCGATGGTTAATTTTCGATTTCATTACCGATCTCACTGTCGAGTTCATTACGGGTCTCATTCATTCGACCTAAGAATGAGTGCTTGCATTGAAGGGGTCCTCGCGGATGTTCCCCAATCAGTGCTTGCATTGAAGGGGTTCTCGCGGATGTTGAAGGATTTGGCGAAAGTGCCCCGCCGATTTTGGTCGCACGTTGTGTTCCCAAGTTCCCAGTGATGTCCGCCTTCAAGGATTTGCCCGTGATGTTTTGCATACTGTATCTCGCTGGTATGAAATTGTACATGAACGTGATGAAGACGCATTCGTCGTTTGCATTCACGCCTGAGGACCGCCCCCGCTCTTCTCCTCCCTCCCCCCCTCCCCCTCGGAGGCACAACGTTTGCTCTCCGTTGCGCGCGTGCTTGTTCAGGCCACTGCGCTGTAACCTCGTCCGTTTACGGGCCAACCCTTGTGGTTTGACCGGGCCTCTGTCTGTCTGTCTGCTGGGTTCCCAGGTTCCCGGGTTCCCGGGTTTCCGGTTCCGGGTTTCCGACCGATTTCGGAGGGCGGCGAGGTTCCCCGGCTCAATCGGTCTCACCATCGATTTCATTACCGGCTTCTCGATCGATCTCACCATCGATCTCACACTCGATCTCATTATCAACCTCACAAGCGATCTCACTAGAGATCGCATGAGCGATCTCGCGATCGATCTCATTATCGTTTTCCCTGAACCGATTTCACTCTCGGTCTCACGATCGACTTTACAATCGTCCTCACTATCGTTTCCACTATCGATCTCATTATAGATCTCACAATCGATCTCAAGATCCATAGTATCAGTTTTAAATCATCCACATATTGGGTTTTCTCAGGTGTGATCGTTTTCCCTCGGGGGGGGTAGGTGGAGGAGGAGGAGGCGGAAAAGGAGGAGGAAAAGAGGGGGTATTTCTTTGTTGCTGCATGGCCAGTAGCCTTTGCTGGACAAGGTCGAAATCTCCACGCGCCTGGCGGTTGACGCGCGCCACCTGTTCGCGCTTGGTGACCGCGAAGGGTTGGCGTCGGGTTTCTCGCACACAGGATGTCCTTCTTATATTCGGAAATGTGTTAAAGTCGTGCCAGTTTCAGAAGCCGATAGGTCACCAGTGAGGGTTCACTGCAAGTTTCGAGGCCAACATGGCGGTTTTCATACGGTGAACATCACAGAACTCGCCTCGCGCGCGCAGCGGGTGTCCCACCCACCCCGCGGGTCACTCGAAATCGTGTCGGTCACAGCTAAGAGTTGACTTGCGTTCCCAAGCAAGGAGGGCGATTGTCCATTGTGGACAACACAGAACTCGCGCGTGGGCAGTTCTGACACCAGAACCCAGGTCAACTTAAACATCAAATCCTTCACCGTTAAGGGTTCATGCAAGTGTCCAGGTCACCCTGGTGACTTTCCGATTGTGGACAATACAGACCTCGCCATGCGCGCGCACGCGCGGCGGGTGACCCACCCACCGCGCGGGTCACTCGAAGTCCTGTCGGTCACCGGTCAGTGTTTACTGTAGTTTCCAGGACGACATGGCGATTTTCCAACCGTGGACATCACGGAATTCGCAACGCGCGCGCACGCGCGGCGGGTGAGCGCGGCGGGTGACCCGCCCACCGCGTTGGTCACCCGAAATCTTGTCGGTCACCGCTAGAAGGTCAGTCTGGTTTCCAAGCCAGCATGACGACTTTCCTGCCGTGGACGTTACAAAACTCTTCACGCGCACGTGCGAAGGGGGTCCCTGTATGGGTCCTGCATGAAATCGTATACCGCAACCCATGTTTACTTCATCAATTCCGTCACCGCTACAGGTTCAGTGTAGTTCCCAGGCCAGAATCGCGACTTTCGATTGTGGACAATACAGAGTTCGCCACGAGCTCGCGCACGCGCGGCGGGTGACGGGCCTACCGCGCGGGTCATTCGACATTTTGTCGGCCACCGCAAGCGTTCACACTAGGTCTCGGACTGACATGGCGGCTATGCCATTGTGCACGCTACATAACTCCGCGCGCACGGGGGCCCTGTAATGTCCATCGTAGGATACTTACGCCCAAACTAATGTTAACTTGGAGATCCAATCGGTCAGCTTTCAACACTTGACAACAGCCGTAAACCTTGACAGGCCTCGACACTGCTAAAGGCCTGCCCAGAGGTGTCAAGGGTTATCGAGGCTGGCCAGGGGCTACCAGAACTTGCCAAGGTCTGGTCATGCGCTGTCGATGAAAACAAGCCGAGACAATTAATGCCAAACCAAGACAGTTAACCATAATACGCAAACTCAAGACATCGCAGAGGAACGTAGAAATAAACGGAACAATTCGTGACTCACGGGGGTCTGGGTCTGCTGGATTGGCGGCGGCTTTGCCGTCAGCGGGCGAGCGTCGACGAAAAGGGCACAGCCGATGCCCTCGCCGCTCCCCGTCCAGGAGATGCGCGCTGGAATGCCAGCAGCCGGTTGGCCGTCGACCGTTCGCCTGCAGCCCGACAGATGGGCTGTCGTTTTTTGTTGTTGTTGAACACGCCTCTGATAGCATGTAGCCGAATCCCCAAAATACTACTGTAGTGTTTTTTTTTGCCCGGCCGTGGGGAGCAGGGGCGGGCGCGCCCGGCGCGAATTTGGCCCAAATGAAGTAACATTTTGATTGAAGCAGGAGTAGAGTCAAGAAAACCTTTCAACACATGAGGCACCTACTGCCACACGAGGTTGGCGCTGGGGGTTATTACTTGCAGCCCTCGTGTTAGACGGGCACCAGCCCGCCGAATGATTGCGATCGCCCTTCCCCTCTCCCTCCGGCCCCTTCTCTGCCTCATCCCCGCACTGTCCCGTCCAGCCTATTCCCTTCTCCTCTCCCCCCTCGCCCCTCCCCTCCCTTCAGTTCAGTTCCCTTCCCGCCCCGTCCCCTTCCTTCCCCTCCCTCCCCCCCCCCGTGCAGGCGATCAAGGCCGACAAGACGCGCGTCATGGACTACATCAACCGCCTGGACAACTACGATGGCCCAGCGGGGATCGTTTCGTCCATCCCTTGGGTCGCGAGGAGGGCGGGCCTGGTCTCGCTTCCTCCTCCTCTCCCCTCCGCCTCTCCCCTCGTTCCTCGCCTCGCCCTTCGCTTCCTCGCTCTGCGTCTCGCCCTTCGCTCCTCGCCTCGCTCCTTTTCCCCCCATCCCCTCCATCCCACCTCGCTCCTCACCCGATCGCCTCGACCCCTCCCTCTTCCTTCTTCGCCCCTCGCCTCGGCCCCTCCCTCCTCCTTCCTCGCTCACTAGCCCCCCTCGTGCGTACCTTTTCCCCGCTCCCCCCTCCCTCCCCATCTTCCCCGATGACGTGCTGAATTCTGCAGGCTCGCTGATTTGGCACACTTGAGACAGTCGGAGGTTGGGGAAGCGAGAACGAAGCGGCCCCAATTGGGTCATCTGTTTCGGTGTTCGTTTGCGTCGTGCATGCGGCCGAGGCGAATCTGCGCGACGGCGACGATGTGTCGGCCGCTGTTGTGTTAATGTTTGACAACAACGTTCTGCTCCCGTCTTTTGGTGGGGCAGGGGTTGTGTCCCCCCGTGAGTTGACCCGCAGTTGTCCCGTGAGCTGTCCCGCGGTTGTCCCGCGTGTTGCCCCGTGGGTTGTCCGATGGTTGTCCTGTGGCTGTGTCGTGGGTTGTCCTGTCGTGTTGCCCCGCGGTTGTCCTGCGGGTTGCCCTGTGGTTGTCTTTCGCGGGAATACAGCATAGGAGAGCCAGGCCATTTGATCATTCTGATAACCGAGACTTCCCGCCTCCGTTCGGCGCATCACCATCATCCTTCTGTGGCAGGCCCAGACATCGCCGCGATCGCGCTGGGACAGTACAACCTCTTCGAGGAGGCGTTCGTCATCTACAAGAAGTGCAACATGAACTCCGAGGCCCCGGGATGATCGGGCGAAGGAGGCAAAACACAAGAAGAGCAATCCCAGCGTATGCGATTTGACAAGGAGGTCCAATACGTAATACGTACTCAGCGAACCACCTGAGCACGGCATGCTCTGCGTGGGCAGCAGAACCACGAGCGGAGGACATCTCACCCCGGCAGGACGCGGCACGGCATGGCTCGGGGCTCAAGAGGCGGGGGACGGGGTCGATGCCTTACGTTGCATTTTCGGGGGACTTCGCGAGTCCCTAAAATTTGTGTATTTTCTTGCGTCCGATGCGGGCTCGATGCGGATTCGACGCAGATTTGGCGTGGATTCGACGCGGATTCGACACGGATTCGACACGGATCCGACGAGGCCGACATGGATTCGGCACGGATTCGACGCGGATAGGACCGCGACGGGACAGACAAGGCCCCCCAAAGATGCAACATAAGATGCCAACGGGGGTCAGCCAGAGCAGACGTGCGGGCGTGAGAGCTACGAGCCGAATGCCAGCTGCGGCGCGGCCTGGCATGGCAAGCGTGCGCGGGCAGCAGCAGCCACGTGCCGAGGCACGAGCGCCCCACAGCCGAGGCCATGGAGACGCTCCTGACGAACGTCGAGGACATCCAGCGCGCCATGGAGTTTGCCGCCCGCTGCAACGACCACGCCCCAGCGGCCCCAGCCCCCCTGATGCGGGGGCCCAGTCCGGCCGGTGCGCGTGCGCAGGAGGAGAGAAGAGGCATGATGAGGGATGAACGAAGGGGGTAGCAGGGAGGGATGGGGAGGGCGAGGAGAACGCGGAGGAGGAGGAGGGGGGGTAGTCGGTAGTGTGGGAGGGAGCGGGTCATCCAAGGTGAGCGCGCGCGCCATATCTGATGTCGTACCCCACATGTTCATCCCTTCCCATTGCGCTGCTGTGTTCACTATCCGCCCGGTATCCTAGCGGACCTGGATCCCCCGAATGATCCCATCTTTTGGTGCGCAATCAGACTGGGAAGCTGTGTACATTGCAGGAGGAGGAGGAGCAGAAGGAGGAGGAGGATGAGGAGGAGGAGGCGGATGGGCAAGATGCGGAGCAAGAGGGAGAGGAGGATGAGGAAGGACGAAGAGGAGCAGCAGCAGCAGCAGGAGCAGAAGTATGCGGAGCGGGAGGAGCAGGCAGACCAGCTGCAGGCGGAGGAGGGAAAGGAGAGGGGCGACAGCGAGGAGGAAGGATTCGGATCCAGGATATTTAGCCCGCGCTAGGCCGAGGGCGCCATTCTGGACGACGGGATCAATGCTCCGATCCTAACATGATGCCACCATTGCATCGGAAACTCCATGTTAAAGAAACCCAGGAGCGTTCCGCTGGGACGAACATGCGTAGATACACGTGCTGAGCTCCTGTGTGCGAGCATGACTAATTGGTATGGCTCTGACGAGCGGCAGTGCCCGGGATCGATGATGTCGCGCGCCGCTGCGGCGAACCGGTCGCTGGTTGCGCATGGCGAGGCTCCCCACAGGCTCGTCTTTCTCGACGCCGAGCCGAGGTTTTGGAAGCAGGATGCTCCTGCGGTTGCCTTCGTGCAGTGTGGAGCCCACTCGTTCAGGCAATTGAAGTCTCTGACTGGCCTGTAAGGAACCAGGCCAGCATTGCCAGAAAATCTGAGGAGACTTATTCCAGGTTTCCTTCCGAGAGAAGGAGACAATGTCAGTACCGTTAACGAGACGGTCTAGCAGGCCTGCGACGCGTGACGCCCTCATACGTGGGCGCCTGTGCTTCTGGTAGAGGAGGAACGTGGCGGAGAGAGAAGAGGAGGAGAAACAGGAATGATATGTTGATGGTAGTGATGATGCTGATGCTGATGCTGATGCTGATGCTGATGATGATGATGATGATGATGATGATGGTGATGAGGATGCTGATGATAATGTTGATGATTATGATGCTGCTCAGGATGATGATGAGGATGAAGAGGAGGATGAGGAGGCTGATGGTGATACTGATGATGACGGTGACGACGATGCTGATGATGTTGATGATGATGACCATGAGTTTGATGATGGGAATGATGCTGATGCTGATTGTACTGATGATGGTGATGATGATGCTGATGATGATGCTTATGATGCTCAGTAGAGTGATGTGCTGCTAAGGATGGTCATGGTGATGATGATGATCCTGATGATGACAATGAGTATGATGTTGATATTGATCTGTATTATGATGATGCTGCTAATGATAATGGTGGTGGTGGTGATGATGACGGTAATGATGATGGCTGACCAGTGGGGAGGGGCCATGAAAAAGGAATAATGCTGATGATGATGTTGATGATGATGACGATGATACTGGTTACGATGATGGTGATGATGATGTTGATGATGATGCTGATGATGATACTGATGCTGCTGATGATGATAATGACGAAGCTGATGATGATGATGATGATGATGGTGATGATGGTGATGATGACGATGAGGGATCAGGAAGGAGGGGTCAGAAAACAGGGGGTGATGTGGGTGATGATGGTCATGGTGATGCTGCTGCTGCTGCTGCTGATGATGATGATGATGATGATGATGATGATGATGATGATGATGGTGATGACGGGCAGGAGGAGGAGGAGGCGGAGGAGGATGTGTAGAGGGATATAGAGCGGAGTAGATGATAAGGACGAAGAGGGGGTAGGGGGGGATCAGGAGGGAGATGATGATGATGATGATGCTGATGATGATTATGATGATGATGCCGATGACTCTGATGACTCTGATGATGATGATGATGATGATGATGAGGATGATGAGGATGCTGATGCGGATGCCGATGACGGTGATGATGCTGATCATGTCGATGATGATTACGATGTTGGCGATGCAAATACTGGTGAGTGTGGTGCTGATGATGAGGATGATGCGGGTGATGGTGATGTTGTCATTGATGCCGCTGATGGTGTTGATGGTGATGGCGATGATGATGGTGATGACGATGCTGATGATGATGGTTGTGGTGATGATGAGGATGATGATGATGCTGCTGATTATGATGATGATGATGTCGAAGAGGACGACAACGGCGAACATGTGGACCATGCTGATGATGACGAGGATGCTGATGATGATGCTGATCATGCTGATGACGCCGCTGATGATGCTGATGCTAAGGCTGATGGTGACGTTGCTTGCTCTGGTGTTGTGGCTGATGGTGGTGACGATGCTGGTGCTAGTGCTGGTGCTGATGCAGATGCTGCCGTTGATGTTAATGATACTGATGCTTATGATGATGCTTATGATGATGCTGATGATGATGATGGTGATGATGCTGATGGCGATGATGATGATGCTGCTGCTGCTGATAATGATGATGATGATGCTGCTGCTGCTGATAATGATGATGATGGTGACGATGATGATGATGATGATGATGATGATGCTGATGATGATGATGATGATGATGATGATGATGATGATGATGATGATGATGATGATGATGATGCTGCTGATGATGATGATGATGATGAGGGGCCAGGCAGGAGGGGCCAGGAAAAAAAGGGGCTGATGCGAATGAGGATGATGCTGCTGCTGCTGCTGCTGATGATGATGATGATGATGATGATGATGATGATGCTGATGCAGATGATGATGTTGATGGTGATGCGGACAATGATGATGCTGATGATGATGATGGTGATGACGAACAGGAGGAGGAGGAAGAGGAGGCGGAGTAGGAGGAGGATTTGTAGAGGGATATAGAGCGGGGTAGATGATTGCTGACGACGATGATGATGCTGATGCTGATGATGATGGATGCTGGTGCATATGAGATGATGGGGATGCTGATGATGATGCTGATGATGATGGTGTTCATGCTGATGATGACGATGATGATGTTGGCGACGCAGATTCTGGTGATGAGGATGATGCGGGTGAGGGCGATGATGGTGCTGATGGTGATGGCGATGATGCAGATGCTGATGATGACGATGATACAGGTGACGATGCTGATGCTAATGATGATGCCGAAGAGGACGGCAGCGACGACTATGGTGACCATTCTCATGATAGTGAGGATGCTGCTGATGCCGATTGGGATCATGACGATGCTGATGATGATGTTGATGGTGACGTTGCTTGTTGTGGTGTTGTGGCTGATGGTGATGATGGTGCTGATGCTGATGCTGAGGCTGCCGTTGATGTTGATGATGCTGATGGCTATGGTGATGCTGGTGATGATGATGGTGTTGACGCTGCTGATGACGATGCTAAGGTTCAGGATGCTGATGGCGACGACGACGACTATGGTGACCATACTGGTGAGGCTGACGATGATGATGATGTTGATGCTGGTGACAGCGATGGTGATGTTGATATTCATGTTGTTGTGTATGATGGTGATGCTGCTTGTGATGCTGGTATTGTTACTGCGATGGCGATGTGGGGAATGGGGCGGATACTGATGCTGATGCTGATGCTGATTATCATGATGATGGTGGTGAAGGATGGGGAGGATAGGGGGGATGATGATGTGATGATGCTGCTGCTGATAGTGGTTGTGATGTGGAGGATGAGGAGGCGGAGGAGGAGGAGGAGGAGGGAGGAGGAGGAGGACGAGGAGGAGGAGGAGGAGGGGGAGGAAGAACAGTTTTGGGGGAAAGCGCAGACACAGGGACTGCTGCGTTTTCTGCTTACGACTACGAAGATGAAAGTGACGGCGATGATTCTGGCGATGACGAGAACGATGTGGTGGTTGTTGTTGTTCGTAATGGTTGTGTCGGTAGTGGCAATGATGACGGTGCGTAGGATGATGGTGGTGATCAGGGTGATGATACGGAGGACGACGATTGCGAGGAGCTGGAGAAATAGCAGGAAGCTTCTCTACCCTCCTCCTGGTCCCATCTCCTGATCCTCCCCTCTCCGCCCACTCCCCCGCCCCCCCCTCCCCCTATCGCCCCCGCGCGCGGGAGCGAGTCTGTGGAGAGGAGGAAGGGAAGAGGAGGACGAGGAGAAGAAGAGAAAGAGGAGGAGGAGGAAGAGGAGGACGGACGATGATGATGATTCAATGATGATGTTGATGATGCTGACGATACTGATGATGCTGATGATGATGCTGATGATGATGGTGATGCTGATGATGATGATGATGATGCTGATGATGATGATGATGGTGGTGGTGATGGTGATGGTGATGATGTTGATGATGGCGATGGTGATGCTGCTGATGGCGCTGTTGTTGATGCTACTGATGCTGATGGTGACGAGGATGAATCTGCTGCTGCTGCTGCTGTTGCTGCTGCTGGTGAGGATGATGCTGACAATGATGATGTTTGAGGATGGCGGCGAGGGTGATGATGATGGTGATGATGGTGCGGAGATGACATTGATGATGACGATGAGGAGGAGGCGGAGGTAATTGAGGATGATAATGCACCCGAAGAAGGAAGAGGGAAGGGGGCGCGGCGATGTCTAGATTCGATCCCTCCTCTGGCTGGTTTCGCGTCCCATCTCTTCCTCGTCGTCGCCCTGGTCCTGCACCTTTTTCTCGTTGAGGAGGCGGCGGTGGTGGAAGAGGAGGAGGAGGAAGGGGAGGAGGAGGAGGAGGAGGAGGCGGAGAAGGACGAATCAGTCGAGTTGGAGCAGGAGGAGGAGGAGGAGGAGGAGGAGGAGGAGGAGGTCGCTGGAGA